CTCTTTATAAAGCGTATTTTTCAATTATTCATTGTTAATGTCGATTAACTAAAAAAGGATAAAACAAAACCGCTTCAGTGTATGTGACAAATGCATGTCACACAAATTTCAAAAGTTTATACCACGTGACTAGCTAATCTGTTAATCTTGTCGGAATTATCAATTATGTTTGCGGCCAAAATTAATAATTTCGGTAAATAAGAATTTTGTTGCAACTTATTAAACCTTGATAAAAAGCAATATGAATAATATTATCGTTCAGCTCAGCCCAATAGGATCATTCAGATTTTCATCGACTGATATTTTTATTAGGCATAGCAATATACATGATTGATATAATAACTCCGATAAATGATCATTTTTCTAGTTTTTATTCCGAAGAAACTCAGGCACGTGATCATTTTTCTGAAAAATTTTTTATAGAGAAAGTAGAGTAAAAAAATATGATGTAAATAAACATTTTATAGGAATAGCATAAAATTGAAATCTATAGAAAGTTAATAAAGCTTATTTATGATGTTATAATTAATGCATGTCAGAACATCATTAACTACAGGACGGGAAGGGTCATAAAATTTTGACATTAAATATTTTGATGTAATTTTGCTATAAAAACAAAATTTTCAATATATATCTATGTATATACTATTGGATGGGGAGTAGCTATATCGGTCACAGGACCGTATGATAGTGGCCATTTTCACCAGGTTCCCGTGACCGATATAGCCTCACACTCTGTTGATAATTATAATAATTTTACCTATAACTGTATATAAAGTCTAACTAGCTAATAAATCCCGTTTATTTTAATATTTGATTTTATATTTCACTTTCGGAATTACGAGTTATCTTCATTTTCAGATTAGCTTCACTTTCAGAAGTTTCGGGAGTTTTATTTATATTTTGCTTCTTTAGCTATTTCTTCTCTGTGAAAAATTTTATCCGTAATTTCTGTAAAAACTCCGTGAAAACTCCGTGAATATGGCACATTTAGGGAAAAATAACTAAAAATCTAAGCAACTTAGATAATTTCCATGTTTTGAGGCTATAAATTCCGTGAATATGACAGTAATAATCTAAAAATAAAACACGTTCAGAATATTAGGGGCGGCGTAGATCATTTTAAATCAAAATTTATTTTCGCGGAGTTATTTAACTTAAAAACCGAAAAAATTGAAAAAATCACAAAAAAAATCAATAATTGCTTAAAATTAGGTAGTTTTTGCAGATTTTGAAGACATTAAATCAATTATAAAAAAAAAATCCGTATTTTTTCAATTAATTTTTTTTTAAAGAATATATTTTTATTAGGGTATAAAATTTAAACGCACCTGCGTTTGAACGCACCCCATGGTATAAGTCAAAAATGAAGTTTTAAACCCCTTTTGCCATAATAAGTAAAGTTGTAGAGGAGGCAAAAATACGCATATAACGTGAGTTTATTTATAGGTGTATAAGGTATAAATTGCGTTTATTCAAAAAAATCAGAAATTCGCCGGTATCACGTGATAAAATGATCAGCATTTTTATTATATAAAAATTTCCAAAAAAGGGGGGTGCGTTCAAAACGCAGGTGCGTTCAAAATTTAATCCCTTTTTATATATATGATATATATGTAAAGAGTGAATTTATTTACCGCACCCTGCGTTACAAAGCATCCTTCCTTTTTTGTAAATTATTTATGTCAATCTTTAGTTTATACGCCGCACCCCCCCTAAAATGGCAAATGATAAACATAAAAATATATATAAATTTGTAACGCAGGGTGCGGTAAATACATTATTTCTATATGTAAAAGTATGTAAATATAAAATTTGAGGCTTCTAGCCGGTACTTTTATAAGGCAAAAAAAAAATTGGATATATATACTATATATCGCAAATTTATTCAAAATATTGCCAAATTTTGACTAATTGGCAATGTTTAGGAATTGTTTGTAAAATTTTAAGTTTTATAGTATTAATATTAAAATTTTCATTAAAACTGATCGACTTATCTATTGTTCAATTTATAGATGGATTTGTAAAATTTTGAGTTCTATTAGAATCATATTAAACTTGAATAAAAAGGAGCAGAAAAATGAATAAAAAAAAATCAGTTAAATTAAGTTAAAAACTTATACCTGTTTCAACTGCTACGATACGTCCCCTATGTTGATTTTACGGTCTATCGGTTGCTTATGTAATGTCAAAATTTAAATCTGGTAGCATAAAATATTCAATACCACGCATGTCTTCTCAACAATCAAATTCAGTGAAGAATTTTTCTTTTAGGCGATGATCCAACATGCTCAACATTTACTTTTCTACTTCAATTAACATGGTTCATTGTACTTCTATCCAGAATGTCATTAAATTCATCGGTCGATGGTGTTTAAAACAAATGCAAAACATATGGGCCGATTTGGCTCACATCATTAATAAGTTTAGGTGATAAATATGAGTTTTGATCGACATACCAATTAACAAAATAGTGATAATAGTGATAATTTTGAAGTAATGCATGATGACGTTTATTTTTATTTCGCATTTAAGCCAATTGCCAAAGTCTTCGCACGCTTTCAAAACTTGATTTCGCAAAGTTAAAACCTGTCGGGAATTGGTTTGGAATTGGTTTTTTTTGGAAGGATATCCTTTTTTGGAAATGGTAAGTGAAATAGTATAATTATTTAATTTAAATATTAGAAAGGTTATTCGGCGAAATGACAAAAATAACTCTTGTTTAAGTTAGAAAAAAAAAGAAAATAATATATTTCCTATATATTTTGTTAGTAGCATTGAAAAATTTTGAAAAAATTTTTTTTATTATCGTAATTTTAATTCTTATTTATTTTATTACAGGTTCAATAGGACGTTTTGTACCGTTCTATTTACTGTCATGATGAGATTATGTACCGTATCTTTAAATAGTTATAGCTATAGATAAACATGCTGAATTTAGACAATTTTAGTATTATTAGAAAGAGTCTTATTTTTTCTCTTAGAGTATTAAAAATTATTTAAATTGGATCATAGGAGACTTGGATAATAATTTTTGAACGTATTATAATATTTGTTTATAGTTTTCGTGATTTCTCAGTCTTTTGTAATTCATTTTAAACAATTTTACTTTGTAAAAATAGATATAATGTTTGTTTTTAAGTGGATATAAAATAATTCCTATTTATTATAAAGTTGCGTGATTAAAATTATAAAATTTTCTTTTTGAATTCTTTTAACGCAGAGATTTTTTTGAATTTTCGTATTTTTTGATCGCCACGTGATGATAAATGTGACAATGATCGACAGCCCACAGGTGACATAATTGAAGTGAGACAAATCGGGCCATATGAGCGGGAGTGCGGGACAGGCTAAATTTGTTATTCGGCTTATTAATCTTTGAATTCTATTTAATAAATACTGTTGCTGTAATAAAGTTATTAAATTAATTACGCGTTCTAATTTAAATGCATAGATAAACTAAATCATTCAAACTACTTGCACGCATTCTTAAATTAACTTAGTGAATTCTCTCTCTAAATAATCATGCTACTTACATTTTTTTAAATAAATCAATAAAAAAAATTGAATTCAACTATTAGACAAAGTCGAATAGTAGATCATTACTAATATAGGTCGAATATTATATACTACTAGTTTACTTGATAGACATTTATAGTCGGCCCCTTTTTATAGCGAATTTTGATATGACGAATTTCACAATACAACGAATCTTCAGTGTTTAGTACTTCAGTATGGTTCTGATTTTAACATAAAAAAATTTAATTATACCGAATATTAAATAGTTATTGAATGAGGAAATAGGGATAAGAAAATAGAGATATCGGTTGAAGACCGATATCCCCCATTTATTAACTGAGTTATAGTTCGGTCATTAGGAATACTGCGATGACTATTATTATCTGATTTCAATATTAGATCTCATAAAAATATCGGTCCGCATATTCCGACATATGGTACACCGATTAACGAAGTAAATTATAAAATAACTCTTTTTATAGTGAATTTTCTTTAAAACGAATTATTTTTTAATGTAGAGAAGATTTTACAGATAAATTATATTATAAAGGACAATTTGATGTTAGTTTTCATGAAATTTTTCCAAATAAGCAGATAGTATTCCGAAAGGGTCGCCCTCACCATAAAAAAATTCTGAAAAAAACTCCAATAAATGAAATAAATGATTTTTCTAGTTTTCATTCCGAAGAAACTCAGGTACGTGATCATTTTCTGAAAAATTTATTATAGGGTCCGACCAGACTTATCGAGTCGGGTTATACCTTTACTTTGACCCGGCGACCCGAATCCTTTTATTATATTTTTAACTAAAAATTTAAATTTTTTTATATTAAATACATCTTGACGGGTCGAACCCGAGTCAGACTATAATCGGGTCAAGTCGAACCCGGGTTATTACTTTTACGCTCGGGTCGAGTTCGAATACGACTCTTTCGGAACACTGTAAGCAGATGAACGACTTCATGCATGTTTCGCGATCACTTTGTAATCACTAAAGCAGATAGTAAAAAGTCTAAATGAACCGAATATAAAATAAAGTTAATTTCAAAGAAACATATCTATGTAGTAAACCCTGCCTTTATAACTTTGTGCAATTGCACATAAATATTATACTCTTTATTGATGATTATTTCTCTTCATCTTGAACCATACAATCATTACAATCGTCTGAAAAAAATGATGATTTAATTAATTTATAATATAATACTGCTCTTATATCGTTAAGTAATAAACATACCATAATTATCGCTCGTCATTATTTTACCCGTAACAATTAGTACACTACTTGATGATATTACACTACTTGATGATAATTTCCTGCTCACATCATGATGAGCTTCTGGAAGACGTGTAGTTTTCGGTTCATGTTCTAAAAATTTATAAAAATAATCGGCAAAATAATAAGTAAAAAATCGATTTTGCAATAAAAAAAATTACACAATACACTATTACCAGGTACAGGTAATCTTTTTTCATTATCTTTAAATCAACCTTAATTTTTTTGCGGTTGGCCTTTTTTCAGGATCATTATCCCAACATCTTTTCATTAATTCTTCTTCTGGCATAGTTCCTTCTTTAATTTCTAGTCTCTTACCCTCGCAAATATCAGGAATATCATAAAATATTGGAACTCCTGATGCCAACTCCCACATAATGATGCCAAAAGCATATATATCAGCAGCTTTTGTATATGGTTTACTTCTTAACACTTCTGGTACCACATAAGGCATGACTCCACTTTCATTTTCTGTATTAGATTGATTTATCGGCCTACATAGCCCAAAATCACAAATTGTTGCACCTCCATAGGGAACATATAGTATATTTTTACCATGAAAATCTCCATGGACAAAACCTAATTTATGAATTCCTTCAAGTTGTATTGTAATATGGTATAAAAACTAAACTTATCATTTGGATTAGATTTTATTTTTGGTAAATTATCTTTTAAGCTGTCTGATGGAAAATATAACATTACAACCATATATTCTTTTGTAACTGGATCCTGTGTTATTCCATGTATTGGAACAAGATGACTGCCGTTTGATGTTACTTTATTTGACATTTTAAATGTAATTTCCACTGTATTTTATTAAAAAAAGTTAGTCATTGTGTGAAATGTGAATAAGTTATATTTAATAATCGCTTACCTCATTAAAAAATTTTAAAATTCTCATCATTTTGTGATAATAAGCTTTTAATTACTATTACTTTTCACTACTTTCAAGAGGATTTTTAATTTTAGAGTCATTATTTGCATCTTCATAATGTTATTCATTAAGTTCATGAGTTACACGTTTCCAATCTTGTTTTTCATAATCCCAATGACTTATAAGTCCATCTAACCAAACTCCTTTATAAACTATACCGAAACCACCTACTGTAATTTTTTTAATATTTCTTAATTTTGTATAAGAAATCCATTCAAGTAACTCATATATTCCTTGGTTCTAATTGCGAATCTTGAATAAAATTGTCAATATGTTCATTTCCATTAGTCCAATTACCAAAATTTTCTTGAAATCTTTTGGAGTTACATTCTTTGCACCAATTTCTATCTGTATTTGGTTGATTACATTTGGGACACTAGCCATAAGCTTGATTAAGTACTGATTCTCCATAATAATCAACATCAATATCGGATCGTTCATAATACTCCTCAAAAGTAGATTCTTTAGCAGCATCAAAGTCTTCAATAGCTAATTTATCTAAAAGTCCCAGTAATGATGATATAGCATTAACAGCTTTATCCGCTTCGATCACGGCTAAAATCTTTTCTTTAAAACGTTTCTCAAATGGATAATCATCTATTTCATTATCATCTTCAGTAATCATTTTTTTGAGACGTTCCAGTAACGATAAATCATTTTAGCAGCTTTATCCTCTTCACTTTCAGTAATCAGTTTTTTAAAAATTCTAAGTAATAGTGTGTCAGTAGTCATTTCTTCGGAAGATTCTAATGATGGCGAATCATTAATTTCATTAGTAGCTTTATCCTCTTCAATAGACTTTTTTTTTTTTTGAAAAGTTCCAATAATGGAAAAAAAAGTTTAATTCTGCAATTAAAGTTTAATAAAATTTTGCGTTAAACAATTTTATATAGTTTCTACGATTTTTCCCAATTTAGGATTTGGTGAATGTCAGCTGGCCCAAATAAAATGTTATTTATGGACCATCCTTAACCTGATCCACCGGTCCAGAATCCAGATGCTTATCTTGGGACTGGTCAAATTTGATTGGACTAGAGCTGCGACCCGTCAGAATTTCTGTATCCGGATCATACTCAAATCAAAAAATGTGTTACCCGACTCCAAAACGGGTATTACCCATTTATACCCGTTTATCTTTTTTGTTAGATATGACCCGAGTATACCCGGGTATTACCGGATAAAAACCTGGTTTTTTCTCAATAAATCTATAAATTAAGAAAATTATCAAATATATAAACAAAATAAAGAAATCTTTTACGATAAGCATTGCTAAAACTCACCAGTGGTAAACATTTAATTCTAGCCGAAAATTACAATTTTAGCCAGAATTAATAAAATGGGACAAAAGTTATTTTTTGTGGTAACTTTCTCGTTCAAATATTAAAACTTGTAACCGTACTTATTAGTGACGATCACCCAAGTAATTTATAAACATTAATTCTGGCCGGCATTAAAATTCTGGCCTGAGTTAACATCTCAATTCTGGCAAAATTTATGGGACAATTACCCGACGGGTATATATATGTCAACATAAAACGGATACAAAATGGGTATTACCCGTTTTTACCCGTTTGCTATTCCATAACCCGGATACATCATAGACACTCGAGTATACCCGGATTGTGTCCGGGTAAATGGGTAACGGGTCGCAGCTCTAGATTGGACAACCTATTTTGATGTATCGATTGTATCGTGGATTATTTTTCAGATTACCGCATGCATTTTTCCTTCCCTCTTTCGTAATACTCATGTTTTCATATTTCATATTTTATTTTTATTAAAAAAAATAATATTTTTAGTTATATCATAATTGAATAATAATATTGCTAATATTGCTATTTTTTATCATGGAGCTATGACATTTTCACAACTATATTAACTCTGTTGACATAATTTTTATATTGGAACACTCTTGGAACTGACTTTTTAAAATATAAATAAAGTTATAAAGAGTACAAAATTTTATTTACAATATATTCTAATATATAATATTACTATTTGTGTATAAAATACGAATATTCAAACATAAAGTTTGCTGGCTAATAGATGACAAATTGTTATTTGTTTTGCTCAAAAAATTTACTTTGAGGAGTTGAATTTTGTTTTCTTCACTCCTTTTTTTAAAAAATAACATCGCAAAATTTTTTTCTCTGACATATAGTTATACGAAACAATTTCCATCCAATCATCTAGACTATGATAGTCATTGTAAATATTGAAGCACGTTACCAACAATTCATCAAATAAGTTGAGTGCATATAGTATTTAAAATATTTCAACGTAATTTAATAGATACTGATTAAAGCTATAATATGACGTTGAGATTAACCTGTTTGGTTATCTAAATCAAAAGTTATAAATTCTTTTATATATAATTTTCAGATTTGAGACATACTATAATTCTGGTCAGTCATTATAATTTTGGCTGGAATATAAGCTTAATTCTAGTCAATATCAAAAAAAAGTCTTTAAAATAAAAATCTTAATTCTAATAATTTCAGCCAGAATTACAAAGTATTAATCACATGATATATTCCTGTCCAATAAAAAGTCGATATTAATTCAATCACGTGAATTTTAAATTTTATAATTTGAAACATATTGATGTCTCCCACTATAAAATATATTTTGTGACACATTTTATACATGAATTGCTCATATAAGACGATAGAGTATTAATAATAACTATTGTTGATCATGAAATTCCTATATTTACTGTATTATACCAAAATCTCCCATTATACCGAATAACATTAACGAATTTTCTCATAACGAAGGCTGGACACCTACTTCATTATATTGAGGGCCAACTGTATAATGAATAACTTCTGATTTCATTACTATTTAATGAGACACTGAGGCGAGTATCGATCAGACTTTATAATATATATATATATATATATAAATTTAAATAATATCCCTTAAAATAAAAAATTACGTTTTCTGGAGGCTATGTGAACGACCGACGACGGAGGGTCGAATCGTACAAATTATACATTTTACTAACGTAAGTTATTATATTTTTGATAGGAATTTAATTTGTCTTCGATAAAGAATATTTCATTTACTAATTGTTCAATTCACACTTATCATTAAATTATTTTTCTGATTCTTTTATAGAATTGGGTATGGTTTATGATAGCATAAGCATATATATACTATTGGTCGATACATTTTTAACGTTACTACTAATTATCTTTGCATTATCGTGCAACATTTTACAATAGAAACAAGCGGAAGGGATTCAAATTAAGTATTTTTATGCTATAAAGCAATTATTTATTTCAAAGTAAATTTCCGGAATTTGTTCTTACCAGATATCGAATACTTTCACGTCCTTCTGGAAATACAGTAATCTGAACACTGGACATCCTGTTGTTAATGCTAATGGAATAATAAGAATATACAATTTGTGTCTTTATGATAATATATCAAGTGATTATTTATTTAATAATAATATTATTTGAGCAGTACTAATTTTAAAGATAAGACTTACTTCAATAATAACGCGAAAAAAGGAAATTCTTTTAAGAAATTCATGAAATGAGCAAATGAAAGGCCAAAAAGTATTGAAAAGAGGCAAACTGAAATCAGTAAGCAACATAAGTAAAGTATAACGACTAGAATCAATAAAATCCTTTTCAAGTGAAGATAAAAAGAATAATTATTTACGACCTATGATATTTAATTGGGAGCATATGATGAAAAGGCATCTTGACTATTAATATCGGTTAAACTTTCGTAATTGTTGCATTATGCCATCTGATGATATGATATTTGATAATGATAGTAAAATAACGGTTATAAATTTTGCAAAATTACTATCTATTGATAGCCAGTGTCATAAAATATTTATACTAATAAGATTGGCGCTTCTATTCTAATCCCGAGAAATAATCCGAATAATTGTCTTTTTCATGTAACACCTTTTTTTTCCAAGTAATTCACATTCGATAATAATAAAATAAACTTTCCGAAGACTTCTCAATAGTATCGATAGTTAAGGCTCTTAAAGCGATTTTCAAAAAAAAAGAGGCTAAAATATGATCGGCATAAAATTTTCACATTTTTATATTAGTATATCGAAATAAATATAGTTAAAATCAACATTTGCCCCACTTGAAAAAAGTAATAGGCTTTTTAAAAAATTAATTTACCTAAATTAGTTTATTTTTCGGAAATTACTTCAATTATTAACATATGATTTTGAGTGTTGCAATGTCATATGACATGTTTTTAAATTATTATTAATTTAGTATATAGCAATTATAGAATAAAAATAATCATTTAAGTCCTATTCACTCATTTATGAAATTTCATTGCAAAAAAAAAATTTTTTTTTGATTATAATATTCCATTTTATGTGAGATACATGTCACAATATAATTTAATAATCACATTTCTTTTACGTGAAAATTATGATCTCTATTATATTTCACATAAAAATCCAAGAAAATCAAAGACATAATTGTTTCTTTAAAATTATATTAATATAAAATTAAATAATTAAACAAAGAAAAAGTAATCATGATACAATTATTAATGGTCAAAATTTTTCATAAAATTTGAAATTTAGGATTGATTTAACTCATTGGATGTGGGTATACCGATCAGATCAAGAAATTGATTAACAGGGAGAATTTAAAATTCTCTGCTGAGAACTTATAAGCAACATATGCAAAACGTTCAATATTCCAATTTGTCAACTTCGATCAATATATGTAACCTGCTCAGATATATTAGTACAAATCGATTTATAAACAGCGTTGAATGTCGATCTCGATATTAGTAAGTGATTATGTAATTTCGAACTTCATCCAATAAAATTTTATAAAAATACAAAATTTGATCTTACTTGCGGGATAAATGTCAGATTACACAGACTAAGTAGATTATACGATAACATTATTTAAAAGTATGCATTTATTCTTAATAATTAATATCCTTTGAAATAACTGATACAAATTTTTAGCGTGACTGTGCGCGTAATTCGATTGGTTAGTAATTATTGTAACTAAACTTCAGCATGAAGCTTTGGGTCAAATTTATGTTTAGTATGAGTAACAGATAAATCTCTTCTGCTTATTTATGAAATTTATCCTAATTATGCTATTTAAATATAGCATATTACATAATTTGAATTAAAAGAGCTCTAATTGTTTCAGAATTTGTAATTTAACCTCTAAATGTTTTTCCGGAATCATTTATAGGACTTGTTTATGGACAAAAAAGCTTTTTACATTTTAAATAAGACTTTCTATATTTTATATAAAATGGTTGGTAACACGAACATTTTTAGTGAATATTGAAATTTATTATAAATAAAGCCTCGAAAAAAACCCGTCAAACGGTATAATTTGATTATTCCTCTATTTCAGGAATAAGAAATTATCAAAATAGAAGGAAACTTTCGTTATAATGAGTTCCGCAAAGAACAACATGCGGAACGTTGCGATCATGTAAATAATACCGCATTTCGTAAATTCTCGTACTACCGACCGAATCGTTCGAATAACTAACGTAAAAAATTCATTCAAAAATGATTTCTTTAACGAAAAAAGATTTCATGATTATGATAATAATAATTTCGACTTTACCTTGATATTGCTATTTCAACATGAATTGAAATACAATATATATACTCGTTTTTTTTTATTATAAAGAGAAGAAACATTTAGCCTTAAATAATTATAGGAATATTTTTTTTTTTCGTTACAGTAGTAGGATATCGACACATTATGATTATATTTATTTGATTTTTAAGATTTATTCCACAATTTTAAGATAGTAGTTAAGCATATAATTTGAAATCAATGATGTAAACACTAAACAATTTATAATCTAAATTTTTGTAATAAATCATATTTCAACATATTAACCAACTGAAAAGTGTTTACGTTCGGTATTTTTTTTTTTTTTTTTTCAAAAGTTAAAATATTATTATTGAAAGACACTTAATCATTTATAATAGGAGAAAAGGTCTAAATATGGTAATTTTTTTATTTGGAAACATTATTAATGGATTTCAAATAGTATGTCTGTTCATGAACTCCTGAATAGTACTAGTTTGTCCGGAGCTGAAGCGCTGGACTATCTCTGGTAGGTCATAAACAAATATCACAGGTAGTATCCCGGTACTTTTTAAAGTCGAATTTTGTGAAAATTGATTAATATCCGGGTACTAAAGAAGTTTTAATCGTATTTTTTTTTTGATACAATTACATTATTTTCTCAATTTTTATTTTATTTGTCATTCTTAACTATTAATATTATTGGATTTGTACCGACGGCTGTAATCTATTTACAATTATCTGGTATCGTGTGAGGAACAGTATTTCCGGGGATGTACTGTAGTATATTGGGTCATATGGACATTTTGAAATGACCCCTGAATGACCTTCGAATGAGTCATTTGAGGCCATATGAACACGTGACCAGTCTTTTGAGTCATTTGGACACTCGCTATTCAATTGTTCTTTGACAACGGTATTACATCTTTAAATCGTGATTTATACATAATTTTTTTTTTTTTGTGTTAGCGACTAGTATATGTTGCTTTTTCTACTTTGTTTATAAACGCGTAAATATTGTTTACATTATTAACAAATGGGCTCAGTTGACAATATTGATTAAACATTATCGATAATGCTTTAACTAGGAATCATACTATTTATTTATATTTTAAAATACAATATAACCATCAAGATTTTAACAAATGACCCAAAATTTGCAAAAAAGAAAATAAAAGAAAGACCTACGCAGTAATCGACAACCAACTGAATTCCCTGACTGACACGTTGAATACAAAAAAAAAAGAAAGAGAAAAAACACATTCTATTAATGTAATCTCATTTAATGTGCAATAGCACGTTCAATTTTTATATTAACATAAAAAACTAAAAAAAAGAAGTAATTATTAATTAATCCAATGCGATAAAAGTGTGTCGATCACATATTTATTGGCTTTGAATAGTTTGTGGCATGGCTTAGGTTCAGAGACACCCGAATTGTAAACATCCGAAATTGACCGGGACATTTTTTTTTTTAAATATCTTTGGCACACATGCACATATATGTATATAGTAATGTCTTCCGTTAATGGGGATTTTTATATTAAATTTTCGTTTATATTGTATTAGAGGGTTAACTTACCATGAAAAATTGGTCAAGTCAAGTGGTAAAGCACTAGATTCAATGCACAGCTCTCATTGGATGAAATTTGTGAAACATGGAATATTGTTTATGGTATGGTAATTACATAAGCTGACATTTTTGTTTTATTGTTTTTTAGGACTTCTTCTTTCCTTTTATTGTTATTATTTTATATTATTTGTTTATTTCATAGTTATTTGTAAAATTATGAATAAAACTATTTTATTTTTTGTATGATTTTTTTTATATTATTATCGTGGGAAAATTTAAGTTCTATTAATAACAGTTAAATTATGAATGAAGAGAAACGTTGGTTAAGCGAATGGTATAGAAAATGCCGCAATAAATATATTGACCTTGTCGGTGATTTTGGAGGTAATATATTCTTATTTATTTATTTATTTGTTTTGATTTAAGCTTTTATATTATCTTTAAAATACATTAATATTATATTTTAAATATTAATATATTGAAATCAATCATAGGTAGCGAATTATTCGTAATAGATGGGGATAGCTTACTTTTCAAATTTCTATATGATCCTGAAACTGACTTTCTTGACTTTGGACTAACTATTAGTGGAGGTCAATATCTGGCTCTTACTTTTTTGGTCGAAAATTTTCTTAATAAACTCAAAGAACGTGAGTGTGTTTTTCACATCGCTTTCTTCGATGTTCATAAATCTTTATGGAATAACCGACCAAAATTACGAATTGCCAGGGAGATTATTATTGAACATTTAAAATCTAATACTAAAATTCCGGTCTTTAAATTTAAGAATTGGTGGACTGAAGAATGGAAGAATCATTTAGACAACATGCAACCATTATTTATTTTAACTGGTGATGGCTCAACAGAAAATTTAGAAATTAAAGAAAAAGATAATTATAAAGATAAAGAAATCGATGTATCTTCAATTTCTGGTATTGCAACAAAAAAATCATTAAAATTAACTATCGTATTACGAGCATTTATATACTTTTCTCTTCATATGGATATGCCTGTCGCATTGTTGCCCGGAATGGAGTTTAAAGATTCACGCGCGTACGCTTTTGTACTTGAAAGAGGTGGTAACGTTAATCTTGAAACTCAAAACAAATTAGAGAACATTATATATTTGACAATAAAAGCGCTTGAAGCTTACGATGAAAAATCTAATTGGTACAAAAATTTTAAATTAACAACATCGAGCAAATATTTGATGACTTCTCAAGAATATACACTTATATGTTCAAATGGTGGGAAAAGGATTGCCATTGTTTTATTGTCTTTGATGGGAGTTTTATGTAACAATAATGATAAACCATATTTTCAATATCTAGCAAAAATCTTTTTGCTTCATGTTATTTTCCTAGACTATCTTCCTTTAAAATCAAGGGTTTCTCCACCATTAGATAGTGAATTTGATGAAAGTATGATTAAACAATTCCTACAAAGTTTTTTTGTCTATTGTGCTCAAATTTATATTGATAGAATTCTTCCAAATAATTTTCAAGATTTGAATAATAATCTTTATGATCTGGTAGACACACGACTTTTTGTGTCTTTAATTCAATTTCGATATGATGATGTGCTAAACTTCAACGTTCTTCCTGATGAGATTAAGCATCAATTTGATGCTTGTTGGAATCTCTTAAAACGATTATGTGAGTGTAATTCTTTATATGTCGACGACGACGATAAAAATTTTAAGAATACTATTGATAAAATTGAGATTGATCTACAATCACGTTTAGAATATAATACAGAAACAACCCTTCTTCCTTTCAAATATAAGTTCTTTGAAGAGTACCTTGGAGACATGCATTTAAAACTTCCTGAAAATTCGAATGTAAAAATTGACGCGGGTCAGTATGGATTAATTGGAAATGTTTATTATGACGATATTACACATTGGCATTCTACAAAACCGATCGAAACTACAAACAAATCAGAGTTCTATTACAATAAGCATAAAACCTCTTTGAAACGAGAAGGTTATCAAAAATATGTGAGGTTTTTAGAAAGATATGCGGCTTCATTAAATGGCACGCAAGGATATTATCCACAAGATATAATAGTGGAAAAATCAGGTAGAAAATCATCAGTTAAGAAACAATCTGCTCGTGCAATAAAGATAATTGAGGAAAATGAAGAAAAAAAGTTGCAAGAATCATTGAAACTGTCTGAAAAATGTCTTGATAGTGCATTGAAAGAAATTTTAAAAATTAAAAATATAAAAAAACAAATTACTCTTTTAGATGACAAAATTGAAAAAAAAGGCAAAATCACACATCCATTTACTATATTTAGAGGTCAATTCAAAAAATTGGAGTTCTTGATGGAACTTTGGGCCGAACATTGTAAAACATCTAAAGTGAAAAATGACTGGATAATTCCTGTTGAAATATTGCGTCAAGTGTTCTATATAGTACAAAATTTTCCAAAATATTTGGATGACAAGCGGAAAAAAAACTTAATTGAAGTTTTAAATCGACTTAAATTTACCAACTGTAAAAAAAAATTGAAAAAAAATGTTAAAGTTTCAAATGAAACCAATGTAAATGATAAGAAACTCCTATCGTTTGATTTTAATTTACCTGAAGATTCGATCGATTTATCTATTGAAATGTCCGACGTTAGATTTCAAATGTTATACGCGGGTCATTTAATGGATCGAAATACAAATTCGATGGATGATCCTCGAGTTCCATTTAAGCCAGGTAATTTTTTTTTTTTTTTTTTTAAAAAAAAAAAGAATTAAATAATTTTAACAATATGTAATTTTATTAGATGAATGGCAAGTTAAAGTTTTAGATTTAATTGATAAAGACGAATCTGCATTAATTTGTTGTCCAACTTCATCGGGAAAAACTTTCATTTCATTCTACGCGATGGAAAAAGTTCTTCGGGAAAGTGATGATGGAATTTTAGTATATGTTGCTCCCACTAAAGCTTTGGTTAATCAAGTAACAGCTGAGATTTATGGTCGGTTTAAGAAAAATTATAAATACGGCAACAAAACAACCTGGGGCATATATACTCGAGAATATCGTGAAAATCATGAGAAATGCCAAATTCTTGTAACAATTCCACAAATGCTTGAAATATTGGTTTTATCTCCGCAACGTGCGTCGTGGGCTCGAAATATAAAAAGAATCATTTTTGACGAGGTAATGTAATTTAGTTAAACTTGTCAAAAGAATACTTATTCGCAAAATTTATTTAATTTTTTTTTTCGCTACAATTAACCTATTTTATTTTTATTAAAAAGATCCATATGATTGGATTAGATGGAGGTGAATATTATGATCATCTACTATTATTAAGCAGATCTCTCCCGATTTTAGCCCTTTCAGCTACCATTGGGAATCCAGAGATATTTCACAAATGGATGGCTAAGTCTAAAAAAGCTCATGGACCTCCAATGAAACTTATCAAAACAACAAAAAGATTTTCAGATTTACAACCATACGTATATTTGCCGAGATTTCCACTGACTTCACTCCTTGAGACAACGGTAAATCCAATAGAAGAGCAACGGCAAAGAGAAAGTATTGTTCCCATTAATCCGATATTTTCTTTATCAATGATCATTTTAAAAGAACACGGATTACCTGATGATATGAAACTTGTTCCATCTCAATGTATTCAACTTTGGGATGAAATGAAAAAACATATGGGTAATAACCCGCCTAGTGGATTTAATAAGTTAGACCCTGATGAATATTTTAAAGATATCGGTTATATTGTCAAAGATGATGCTGATAAATATGAACAAGAACTTAAGAAAGCTTTTACGAAATATGCAAGGGATGACTCTACAATTAATATAGTAAAATCAACTATTGAAGAACTAGGGACTGATATTAAAGATGGATTTACGGAACTGGAATTAACAGCCAATGGATTAGATGTTTACGGAGATGAGTTTTTTAAAAAGGGAATTGTACCATTATTATGCGAACTCTCAGCACAGGATAAGCTTCCGGCTATTTTGTTTCATTTTGATAGAAAAGGATGCGTTGAACTTGCACTTCATATTTTGGAACAATTAGAATTAGCAGAGGACACAAAGAGAGCTGGTGATCCGGAATATCAAGCAAAAAAGAAAGAAGCAATATCTCAAGAAAAGGCTCGTAAGAAAGAATTAAAGAGAACACGAGATTTAAAGACTAAAGAAGATATCGCACAAAGCGAAGTTCCTCCAGAACTAGAAACCTCTATTCCGACAATTTTTGACTGGGAAGCACATGATCCTGATTTTACTTTCGTAAATCGAAAATATCAAGTCCCTTCAGAAGAATTTGAAAAATTAATAGAACATGCACGTCGAAAAATGGGAGGAAATTCCAAATTATTGATAGCACTGGAAAGAGGTATCGGAGTACATCATTCTGGTCTTCCTAAAAAATATTTAAGCGCGGTTGAAATTCTCTTTAGACGTCGTCATTTACGAGTTATAATTGCAACTGGTTCTTTAGCTCTTGGTATAAATATGCCGTGCAAAACAGTGGTATTTGTTGGAGATTCAATTTTTCTTACTGCTTTACAATACAGACAAATGTCCGGAAGATCGGGAAGAAGAGGATTTGACCCTATAGGTCATGTAATATTTTTTGGCATACCCCTAACGAAGATTATAAGACTTCTTATGTCAGGATTACCAAGCCTTTCAGGACATTTTCCTTTGACGACAACTCTTGTTTTACGTTCTTTTAATCTTCTTAACCAATGTAAGAATCAGAATGTGGATGATTATAATTATGCCAAAAATGCTATCAAAGGGTTATTCAGTGAATCCTTTTTTTGTCTTGGTAAAGAATATTTATCTGAACAAATTAAGCATCACTTAAGATTTTCCATAGAATACTTGATGCGCGAAAATCTTTTAGATCAAAATGGCAATTTGATTAATCTATCAGCTATGGTCTCCCACTTATATTATGTAGAACCAAGTAATTTCGCATTTTCTGTTTTATTTAAACATGGTGTATTTCACGAAATTTGTTCAAAATTGAGAACAGACTCTTTACAAGTAAAAGAAAAAGTAATGGATGAATTGATTTTAATTCTTTCCCATCTGTTTAAAAGAGCTAAATTGCGCAAGATATCTGGAAGTGAATGTCGAAATCCAAAATATCCCTCTAAAGTTATCTTACCTCCTTTACCGAAAGATGTCAATGATATTTTAAAAAATCATAATGGACGTATTTTAAATATTTATACTGATTACGTTGTAACTTTCGCGAGAAACAATAATTCTAAGTTGGGACTTGATAATACCTTACCCCTATCATTAATCGAAATCCCTCCTAAGTCTATGCTAAAGAAAGATCCTTTAATTTCTAAACTTGAATCAATGGCGATTTCATTTGTTGCTCGATCACCTTTTATTGCTGTATGTAGTTCTTTAGGTGATATTTTTATGAATTTAGAAGATTTAACTAGTCATATTCATAGTGAAATATTTTTGGATCTTCATAGTATACCTTTTATTAAAACGGATGAAAATATAAATGCATGTATAAGTGATTTTTTCTCTCACGGTCAAGAAATTGCCCTTGTTGAATCAAATGGAATAAGGCGCGGTGAAGTTTGGCAAGTACGTATTAATAACCCGTGTAAAAAAATAATTCACATATTTTTATAATCATATAATAATTTTTAATTTTTACCTTTTTTTAGGTCTTAAAGGATTTTCATTTGATTCTTTTGTCAATAGTTAGTTCTTTAAAAACTAGGATTGAAGAAATAGGTAAATTAGAATTAGATAAGACCTTATTTGTGAAAGAAACCCGTGTTCTTGAAGGGTTTGAAATGGTTCGAACACGCTTTGAAGAACAATTCTTCCGTATTTGGGCCTAAATGTCATGGTTATAAGTGGTATTGACAAAAACCTTATGAGTAATATCAAAATAGAATAAATATGGTGAGCCTATTAATTATAACGAAAAAAAATTTCTTTTTTTCTTAGCAAGAAGACAAGTATTTATAGTATCGTATATATTAAGATTAGTGTAGCTTTTATAGGATTATTTTTTTTTATGTATAAATGTTAATATATTCGAGAACTTTCATAGGCAAATTTAGTGGAGTCGTTGTTTATGAAGGTGAATTTGTAATACAGCGTCAATGATTCAATAGTAACAGGGACATCCCGATGTAAAATTTTCGAATCTACCATTTTACTACGAACCATGTTATTGAACAATTTCAATTAATGTAATTTGATCACACTTTTATGCTCCTCTCTCTCCCTGATATGTATTTCTACTGGAAATATCTCATTAATCTTCACGTGATTTAACGTTCAAATCTTCACAAGGTAGGAAATACTTGGTAATATAAATATACAATGATTTAAAAATATAATTGTGTAATGCATGCAGAATTTTTCTCTTTTTTTTGATGAATATTTTATATTACAAATAATACAAATTTTACGTTTTTAAAAAAATTAATACTGTAATCCCGCACATAATGGTGTAGTAGCCGAAAAACGGAGCCGAATTCCTGATTGCCGATCATCCGGACCCGGTTTAACCTCAGAAAGTCTCCTGGAATTCCGCAACGATCTGTGCCTGAGCCGGGTCCGGATCACGTTGCGGCTAATTATTTTTCGGCTAACTACACCATTATCTGTCGCACTAAGTGTCACTTCATACTAATTTTTGAAAATTACGACAATCTCATATAGATAGCCGGAAATTTTCTTATTTTAGTTTAAAATAGTTAAAAATAGTTAATCCCATTAAATCTCACGCTCCAGGGGATTACCCTGGGAAGGAAAACCCTATTATTTGCAACCCATGAAATAAATAATATTTAAGTCCCGAAGATAAGCACCCTTTTTTGCACGTAATGCCAGTTGAGCTCGTCATTATGTGGATCAAAATTGCTATAATTCTTGGAAATGTTTATTTTTGGAGGAAGTACGAATATTCAGGAATTTCAAATTTATTGTATACTATTAGAAAAAAGTAATGAAATAAAGAGCAAAGTTTAAAAACATTCTATTCAGTCTTATGGGAGCCGATCAAAGTGTGGAATTATAAAAAAAAAGCGAACATGGTTAATTTTATCATATAATACTAGTAGCAACTTGCTTAGTATTTTAATAAATCTAAAAATCATGCTGTGAAATCTCCATAAAGCGTTTGTTAGCATATCAGGCATTTACTGTTTGGTGATTTATGTTAGTACAACTCGTCAATAAGTTAACAGTTAATATAAAGTTTATTAAATAAATACAGACTATGTAGTGAGCTACACTCACCAATCATATTGTTTATTGCAAATACAACAGTTGAACCAATGCCAAAGTTTATTTTGTTTTTATTATTTATCGTAACAAAACTTTAAAAGAATAATAAAGAATAATAACTTGTAAACATTTTATTCGAATATTTCCGTTATATCTCTTTATTTTCTGCAAAGCTTCATGAAATTTGTTGAAAACTTTTACCTTCTATTAATTACATAGAACGCTTTTAGATTTCATTATTATTTCAGACCGAATGAAGCTTTCTATCTTTGTAAATAATCTTTTTTTCATTCATTGAAGAAAGGCGTGAAAGACGTGGGCAGATTTGATGAAGTCACTTTAATAGCGAATTTCAAACATTATAATCATCGATTGATAATCATTCTTGGCGTTCAAGATATTTAAGATAATAAACATTATTTTTGAATTGTACTGCCTGAAGTTCATTCCACCATGGGTAATTAATAATAAGATATTCGGGGATTACTAATTTATTTAACTTCAATTCTTTAAAATTAATAACGAATTGTAATTTTCGGTTAGTTATGTTGCACCAACAAAATTGCTGTTCATCAAAATATACAAAGTATAAATGATCGTACACTACACTTCACGTGATGGAGATCAAAATTTTTTTGCTAATAGCTTTGAAAATCATAGGATTTATTTCAATATTCAATTTTTTTTTTAATCTTGATGTTATTAAGAGTTGAAGTCCTTGTACACACTCATGTACATGTGCATTTTTTAGCTTTTTAGCCGGTGTAACTTTTGTTATTATTTTATCTTGAGATGACAAAAGATCATGATGTATATACAAAATTTGCGTATCAATAAACGGGATTTAATTTTTATATTTATAGTTAGCTGCACACGCTAAATTGAAACGCCCAAAGTTCTGGCATATTCTATAATATTACTTATGACATTTGATACTGTGATATAGTTAGTTATTTATAATTATCATTTGGAATTACTATTAAATGAACGGGTGTGATTTTATATTGATATGATGAATGAGAGTATTTCCTTTAAAATTTTATGAAAGGATTTATAAGTTTCCTAAGATTTCTAAATCTAATAATGTGAATCAAATTGATAGATTCTTTCTTTCAAGTATCTCCATATTTCCATTTACCTAAATAGAAATTTTTGAATGATTGCGACTTTTTACACCATTGGATGATTACTTAATAATTTTCTTGGCAATGATGATACAATATCCGCCTTTTTTCATTATTACTTATCTAGCTTTGTAATACCACCTCATTTGGTAAAAAAAAAATTTCTGAAAAACTCCGATAAATGATCATTTTCTCCGGGATTATTACATGTTGATCAACTTAAAATATACTATATGTATATTATGTATTAAAATTTAACCGGAAATAATAAACCGTAAAATCTTCAAAATTCTCTCGGTACGGAAAATTCTTTTAACAATAATATGATATTCAGTACTAAATAATATACTAATTAAAACAAAGCCAATAAAAACCAATTATATTTTAATCGATCTACTAATGAATATTCGACGAAAAAAAAAAAGTATTTATTCGCCCAAAAGTTTTTGTTTTTTAGTTTTGAAAAAAAAGAGATTTATTTCCCAATTTCCCTATTATATTTCTTGTAAAAAAATGGAATTATTATACTCTTTTGCATTTATATATTAAGACCGATCTCCCTATAAAAAATTATCGATCATTTCTCTAGTTTTCATTCCAAAACAACTCCGATATGTGATATACATATATATATATATACATATATACATATGTATATATCAATTTTCTAAAAATTTTTTATAGGGTCTAGTTATAACAAATACGATCAAACAAAAATGTACATAATGAATACAAGGACAACGAGGGAGAAGTGGTGATAAAATGGTAGCTAGGATTGGAATGTATAATCTCATTACATTAATTGTTATTCATCGAAAAAGAAAAAAAATATCATTGAAGCTGAGTCTTTTAGAGAAGATGAACCATTATTATATTTAGATAAAAAATACACCAAAATTATTACTGTTACAAAAATAGGAACGAATAAGTTGTATTTATCTACGCGGTCGTTGGAAGGAGTGAATTGCTGGATACAAATCAATTTATTTATAATTTGATTTATGTCTAGTAATTTATTCTATGTTAAAGAAATAAAAAAGGAGAAAAACTTTGTGTTTAAACTGAAATAATCAATAAATAAGAAATAGTAACGAAAGATAATATAGAAAAGGAAGTCATGTTGATAATAGGACAAAAATTAAGAAAATATCAGAAATGCGAGAAATGCGGGGAAAGAGAGAATGCCATGTAGACACATATGTTAAGATAATTGTTAAGCTTAAATATAATCTTAAAAAAAAGTTCATATATTTACTACTAATAAAATACTGATAAATAGTAACCATAAATAATCTTATGAAATAAACGACAAAAGCTTTTTTTAAAATTAAACTCCAGCAGGTAAAATTAGAGATACGAAACTATTGTCATCGTTAAAGCTTGTTCCATTAAATAAATTATTTCCGAAAGAATTATTCGTAATTTGGGGTGTAGTTAGTTGAGCAATTCGGTCAATTGTATCAGAATTATCGATTAAGCGAACATTGCTTATATTACTTGCATTATTTGCCGACATACTATTAGTTGTTTGAACACAATCTCTTGATGACATTTGAATAAAAATTTTTTTTTTGATGAGGAATTGAAATTGTCCCATTCAAGGAATTTTTTTAAAACATTTATAAAAAATTTTACTTTAAGTATGTTGTGTAAATACACGTACAATTGAAATTACTAAAGACTTTTTCAATTGCTTTAAATGTTCTTATAGTTTTCTTTGATATATATGAATTTAGTTGTCACTTGTCAATGAGCTAAATGTGGTCGGGGAAAAAATATCATCATTCGTCCGATGCTTATCAAGAATCTGATGAAGATTGCGTAGTAGCCTTATCAGTCTATCCAAAACAGGAAGAGTTTCAAAGGAACAAAATCTCATTATTTGAGTGTTTATATGTTTTTACGAAGATATAATATCAAATGTGACTTTACTTTCTTTTGATGATCCAAGGGCTTCGTACAAAACGTACTAAGTATTAAACATTATTTTAAAACTGTAAATTAAGAAACTAGGATTATTATGAAGATACATGTTATATGGCAATATATGCTTTTTAAACAGGGCATATAGTCATATAACCAGCTAATAAGAGCAATAAGAACACATTTGTTTCTGTACAATATCGTACATATTTAGCCACTTTACCTACTAGTATATTTTTATACAATCATTATCCATAAGGAACGCGTTTTCTTATTTGGGGGATATTTTTTTTTTTTATTTATGAATATAATAAATATAATATATATGAAGAAATTGACAAAGATAGTTATATGAAAACAAATTTATTGTTTTTTCTTTTATATTCACCAAACAAAATCAAGTCAAAAAAAAACTGCATAAGTCGTACCATGATATCATAAATTTGCTATTTGTAGACAATTTGTCACCGCAATCTATTATTACGAGATTTCACAGATTGTACACCAATTATTGTAATATAAACCATTTGAATAAAAGTCACCAGTAATATTAC